TCAACCTATAAGCCCAAAATTAACCCTCAATTAAAATCTGTTAGTATTAGTAGAAAAAAATATACTACAGTAACAATTTTTATGTGGTCATTTTAACCATAAGCGGACGCACGCCACATGATAACAAATGACAAATTCTAAAGTACAGGTCACAACCACACAACACCTACACTGGTTGATTAGACAAATATTTTACCGATGTATATTTACAACTAGTGCGCATTGGAAAAATTTGGTAATCCTTCATAAACCCTTCCACAAAGGACACCCCCCAGCTCTGGCCGCACTGCGAAATTTGTGAAGACAACAAATAGTGCTTCGGTAATTCTCACGTACAAATTACATCATAAAAACTCAAAACGCCGATAAAATGACGCTATAAACGCATCAAAGGATATTTCACTTTCACTAAGCGCGATGATGTAACTTTTTGGAGAGATATCTGGTTAGTGTTTCAATCCCACCCCTTCTCATTTCTGCCTGGTACATTTCAATAAACCGCCTAAAACTGACCCTCAAAATCCAAAAAGTAAGAAAAGAATGACCGGCTTCTTCTAATTACACCAAACTTTAATTACTGCTTGGAAAAATGCACCTACCAGCTGCATACCAAGACTTGTCTTCTTCCGCTGTTGAATCAGTATATCGAAACAAACTTTAAGCGCTATTGTCGGATTTTCTAAAAATTCTAATAAAGCACGAAGTGTAAAGAAAAGCAACTATAATCACATCCAAAAAAAAGTTACTGCAGTTTTACAGGGATCTTAATGTCACAGCTACATGGAAAGAACTTCACTTAATAGGAGCGTAATTACAACAAAGACAAATCTAGTAACATCCTAAACGTGAAGATTCAAAGTTCCAGTGGCTTTTAAAACTTAAAGTGTAGTTTCGGCTTTGTAAAAAAAGTGGCAAGTAAACCTTCAAAGTAATGAATTCAATAAAATAATAAGTACATTTTTCTAGTTTCTCAGCTTAAAAATTTTGGATTTTGTACAGGCATTTTAAGCTTAGAAAGGTCCCCCTTCAACGGTCATTACCGGATTAGCCCCATCAGTCCACATAGGTTGCAAAAAGTGCTGCATATTTCTTGGTTTCTTTTTACACTTGTGCAAATGAAACTTACTCCGTAAAGACATCCTCTCGAGAAACTATTCTGGCAGCATAAATCCTATTCGGAAAAACAAGAGACATGACTAAAAAAACCCGAAATAACCATGAAGGAAGCAAGATAAACTTGTTTGAACATTTGACAGACGAAAACACAAAAAACAAAAGCTTTTTCACACTGAAGATTTTGATGAGCAGTATAAATATGAAGCGATACCATATGTTGAACTTGAATATAATTCGATTGGAAATCAATTACATGGAAGAAGTGAAAGCAGTCCAAAACGATAACCACGTCAGTGTCAGAAAAGATGTTAACAAACAGTTGCCGTTTCACCGGTACTCATCTTTCAAACACCACGTACGAGTTTCTGCATAAAAAACACAAAGCTTTCTGAGAATCGCACGAAAAGCCGTTGAGTCTTGTACTGCCACTTTATTCTAAAAACTTCTTATAACAAAAAAGCCTTTTAATTTTAAGACAGTTCCTTAATAATAATAATAATAATAATAATAATAATAATAATAAAGAACAACTAACCTTAAACTTTTCTAAAATTTCAAAAGTTGTAGCTTTCCCTTCTCGTAAAGCTAAAAAAGTTCGTATCTCTTCTGCAATTTCGTCAAATCGATTCCCAGATTCAGTCTTATCAACATTTGTTGAGAGCAGAGAAGGATATTGCTGAAAAAGTCAACATCTTTAATATTAATCCGAGAAAAGATATAGACTTTTAAGAAAATGAAATCTAGAAAATAGAAGACAATAATAACCCTCTCCTGTTGTAGTCCATCACCATCTTCATTTTCCAAAAGACGTTCTTTCCTTTTCTTAATACTCTCTAACAAATTGTCCTCGCCGCCTGCAGGCCTAAATAGTAACACAGACCAAATAACAATAAGAGTGAAAATAATAAATATGATCAAGAGATAACCGCTGGGTAAGAAATTATTAAGGTCTTGCACACTGACGGCCCAAAATATACATTTGGAGGAGAAGATTCGAAACTGGAACTGGTAACACTAGAAAACACTACCTCCCTCATTGTCCTCTTCTTCAACTTTCCAATCAAAAAGCAGGTGGCCAATAAAAGCGATGGGGCCATCAATGTGCAAAATGTCCGAAACTACAATAAATTCTGAAGCAGTCGCCAAATTAAGTTTCTCAATAACTCCATACTCACTTCAGTAAAGCGCTACCACTAAAAACAAGTTCATCTGAACGTTCTTCGTCACGTTGGCTCCTGCTACTCGATGACGAAAAACCAGCTGCAGCTTTCAAGCCAAAGCGCAATCTTCTCTGCTCTGTTTCGTCTTCACCTAGTTTCCTACAACCTTAAAAGATGTTCATCTGCATAAACCAAAAAAGAATTTGCCACATCCTTTACCTCCGAGAACGACGTACGGAATCAGCAGCTCTTTTTGCTACAGCGTTCGCTTCATCTTCAATTAACTGTTCGTCTGGAGTGCTTTCAGAAATAATCTGATCATGACGAAGGGCAGAATGTACTCGTGAGCTCTTCAAAAGCATACCCAAGACGTAGTCGTCCTAAAGATTCATTTAAAAGATGACAAACTGTGTAGATAAAAAAGCCATGTTCTTCCCATTAATTCCTAATAAATTCAACACCTGTTCTTTAGACCTATCTTCTTCCTTCGCTTCTTTGTACTTTGTTTGTTTGGTTAAATAAGGGACTTCGTACTTCTTATCAAACAAATTTTTTCTATTTTTCTTATTATTAGCAGAAAACTTATTCAATACTGAATTTCCTGTTTCGCTAATATTATCAGATGTATTTGCTTTTTTCCCGTCCTCCGCAGTGCGTTCACAAGGCAAACACTTTCCTAAAGACCTGAAAGTTAATACAATCATAAAAATTAAGCCAGCAAAACGCGAATGCAAAGTTACCTGCTAATTCTGCGAGCAATTTCTCTCAATTCTTGAATACGTTCTGGAGGTAAGACTTCATCAAGAATTTCTCTGGCCTCATCATCGTCATCTAAATCATCATCAAACCCTGTCCTTCTTCTCTTCAACTTGTTCTTTTTCTCAGATTCCTTACGTCTAAAGCATTACCGATTACCAATTAAAACTAAACGCCAAATATGTTTTGAAAAACTAGCCACAATTACCGCTTCCTAATCTTATCAAAATAGTTCTCCCGGCTTATTTCTTCAGCTGTGCCGCAGAATATAGAAGCCGTCTCAGTCCCACTACTTTTTATCGCCTTCTCGTCACCTGCATTTTCAAAGCACAATAATTTTTATCGGATAATGCCAGCAAAATAAACTTCAAAAAATAAAAAGAACGGTACCTAAAGTAAAAAGTTCATGTAAATCATTCGTCTTAAAAAACCTTCGCTGTTTCGGGTCCGCCAGTATTCGATTAGCCAAAAATTGTTTGAAGATCTGTCTAAAACACGAACCCACTCATGAACTACTTTGCAGAAGAACCACCTAAAACATTCGAACGGACCTTTGATAAATCTTCTCCTCAATAGTACCACTCGTAAGTAACCGGTAGATAGTAACTGGATGCTCTTGTCCAATCCGCCAAGCTCGCTCTCTTGCCTACAAAAAAAATCTCGATAAAACCTCCAGAAAACAAAATCAATTGAAATATTTCTGCTTTCAGACAGCTGACTCAATACCATAGCTCTAACTCAAAATTAATATATGAAAATAAAAATCAGCACCAATCGAATGTCGTTAACTACCAAAGAAACAATTCCACACCACTTCTAAAATCTGAATTTATAAGCTCAAGATTAGTACCCCCGACTATTCTGCCGACCCACTCCAATGAAAAATCCAATACAGAGAGAAGCGGCAGTCAGGAAGAGAAGGTTCTAGAAAACATGGCAACACCTTATTATTGAAATCCGTCAAAATCTTTGTCTTCGTTGATGTTTAAATCAAACACTGTCTGACAAAAAAATGTCGCTTTTTGGCTCTCACTATCGGACTAAGTTCCTTCAACTTTTCATGCATTGTTTAAAGGTCACAGCAGGGCTTTCTGAATCTTCAGAAACGTACCTTAATGAAATGTTATTTCAAGGTACCACTAAGCTTTGAACTAAGTCTCTTCGATTTGTGAAATTTGTATAGCAAATCTCAACAACTCTTCGACTTCCTCCGATCAGGTATGCTTGTGAGTGTCATAAAGCAAACGCTCAACAAAATCCTACTCTCAAAAGCAACTGGGTATTTATAACTGAACAACGCTCAACCTCCTCTCTTCAAATCGACACGCTACACTAGCCAAAATCCCTCACCATCTGCCCGCATCAGTCTTCTACAGGATAAACAAAAACAAGAAGTGTGGTTATGGTTTAATGAAATAAACTTAGATTCCACTAGCAAAAAATCCAAAATCAGAATTGATTTACCTGTATATCAGTTGAAGGGTTCCAATCTGGGTCAAAAATTACAACCCTGTTCGCGCCTGTTAAATTTATACCCAAACCACCGACACGAGTTGTGAGAAGAAACAAAAAGATCTCCTTCGACTTAAAAAAATAATAACGAATTGCTTTCACCAAAGCTTTGAAAAGTGTGCCAACATTTGAATTCAATTCAATTTTCAACTTACAGTATTGAACTTTTCTACCAACGGTTGCCTGCTTGCAATTGATGTTGCCCCGTCCATTCGCAAATAGGAATAACTGGAACTTCAGAAACTTCATAAACTGGGCAGCTTGCTTGTAAATAAAATTCAATTAAAGAACCAACCCTTCCTTTATGATAAACTTTTCTAATACAGTTAACATTTGACGACTTTGAGAAAAAATAAGAACTCTCTGGTCCTGTTCACGCCACAACTTGAGTAAAGCTTTCAATACCTTAAAAGACAGGTATTATCATAATCACAAAAGAAAAGTGATTTTAAAACAAAGCATGTACTACCATCATTTTCCCACTCCTACACGGCGCGCCAAAGTCCATGTCTTCATCAAGCGATATATTATAATCACCTCAAAAAACCCTCAGTCATAAAATACAGTATGTAACCAACAACAATTAAAGCAAAAAAGAAAGAAAGTACCATGTTTATTTGGACCTCCCGTTATCAGATCTGGATGATTACAAAGCTTTCTTAAAGCAATTAAACCAACAAAAGCATCCATTTTCCCAGCAAGAATCCTACCGCACTCGCGAGATGATAAATACTCTTTGTACAACTTCCTTTGAAAAGACGTTATTTCACAAAACAGCACCTAAACACGATACAGAATGAAATTCAACGTCAAACCCGAAAAGGCGCCCCGTAAAGTTCTCAGAAGCTAAAACTCGGAATTGCCCAAGCTATAAGTACTTCTAAAACCAAATGAAGAACAATGTTTTAGTCCAGCAACGTTTTAAACGATAAACAATAGTTCAAAAGCATGTAAAGTTAAGCACAACGAAATAAAAAACCTGTTCTGTTTTTGAAGGTAGCTGAATAACCATCTCTACGTCTTTCTTCATCCTTCTCAGAAGATAGGGACATATTGCATCTCTATAAACCGATGTGTGACAACCATCGTTACAGAAGAACACAGAAGAAAATGTTTAAGACACTTTTATGAACCTGAGAACACAAGCACACTTATAAGCTGTCCGAACTTGAACTGAGTTGGCATTGGCATAACCGCCTTGAGTAATTGGTATCGCAAACTTCTCTGTAAACGACTGTAAAGAACCAAGCCGACCAGGATATATAAAATCGATAAGAGACCTGAAAGTTTAAAAAATGTTATCCTCGAAAACTCATCTCCTTCAACGACAATAAATTTGTAAAACCAAAATATTCCCAACAATAATAAAAAAAGCTCTATTGGAATAACCAACTACGAACCAAAGTTCCTTAAGGTTGTTCTGAAGAGGTGAACCAGAAAGAAGTAGCCGATGAGGAGTACGAACGTCTTTCACAGCTACAGTCATCTAAAAAATGCTGCCGATAATCGTCTATGACCTTCTTTTCAACTTAGTGGCGATGCTGAACATTTACCTGAGCATTAGGATTCCTGATTTTGTGGCCTTCATCCAAAATAACATAATGCCACTCCGCCGCAACTAAAGATTTGTACTTTTTGGTAAAAGTCGAGTATGATGTAATTAAGACCGAACCATCCCTAAATAATGATTAAAAAATCAAGAATTACTTCATTTCACTCAATTATTTGCAAGTCAGATGCCAACAAAACTATACTTTCGTGGCACAGAAAATTTCCTAATGAGCGTTGAATTTTTTCCGCGAAACGTTCCACTTGAATGAAATATCGCTACTCGGCACAAAGGAAACCATTTACGAAATTCTTTCAACCACTGATGCATCAGTGTAGTGGGACAGATGATAAGAACTGGGCCTAACCCCCGGAAACTAGAAGAAAGAAATGTACAAAACAAATAATCCAAAAAATTTATATCCTCAAAAGGCTTACCTGAAACCAGATGAAACAGCCTGCGTACAACAAAGTGCTCGTAAAAAGCAGACTATTTGGATCGTTTTACCCAAACCCATTTCATCAGCCAATATACCTCCAACTGACTGCTCATGTAATACATTTAACCATTTTATACCAGTCTTTTGATACCTGGAAAAAAATACAGATATTATAAATCCTTTCACACCACTTCAACAAAATCACTTCTAGAGGAACCTACTTATACAACTTTTTCCAACAAACGTTCGGGATCCTCAACCCTGAATCAAGCTCATGAAAACTGCCATCATAAGAACCCTCCAACTTCAACAGTTCTTCTTCAGCTTTGACTGACCTGCAAAAAACCGATTAACTTCAAACAACATTCACAACAAGCGATGTGCTACTGTGGGCGTACCAAAATAAGTCTGAACTGAGTATATTCTTACCCCCCACAACTAAAGTTCTTCCCTGTCACACTCCGCAAAATTCAACCTGCTTGAGAAGTTGCGCATAGAAATTCAATGACACATTACTTTAAGTTTTTTTAACATTGCGAATGATGCAAAAAAATAATGGCTCTGACTGGTTTATGTGAGAAACACGCATCCACTAAGAAATTAATTAAAATGACAAAAAAATACTCAAAAAAATATGACACCTTATTCTCTCATCAAACTCTTCGTCATAGGAATCATCGCGCATTCTCTTCGTACTCTTTTTTGACGCTTCTTTCTTTTTCGTAATTCGAACCTTTCTACCTTTACTGCCTGTACCAAAACCCCTGTCTGAACCTCCATCTGTATCTTCATCGCTCAACTCCTCACCGAAATATTCAGAGGAATCTTTGGAATCGGAGTCAGAGAAACCAGCTTCCTTCTCCTTTTCAGCAATGCAAGAAGTCGATGGCTGCAAACATCCACAGTACAAAAAAAAAAAAAAAACAACTTTTCCTTGAAGACAATGAGTTAACGCAACTGCTTACTTCAAAGATGCAATCAATAATATCTTTCCGGAAACTTGCATCAGTATCATAAATGTATTTGCCCGAGTCTTTTATTTTACTACTGTCGTTAGCAATCTCTTCAAATGACCGAGAGCAATCAGGAAGGACACTGGAGCCCTGTTTGAAACAGTCCGTTACCTAGAAAACTAATCATAAAAAAAAGTTAATACAAATACTCTTCTCTAAATAGAACTTAGCACTCAATGTTATTTTATTTAAAAAGCGTTTTTTGTAATCCGTTATGCGCAAAAAAAGAACTTATTTAAAAGTAACCAATACCGAAAAAACCAACAGCATGATAGTCCAACTCACCTGTTGCATGAAATTACTTTCTAGCGATGAAGCATTATAAGCAGTTACGCCAACATCAGCCAAAACTGAGAGGTCACCCTGATCTAACGATATTGCTGGGACAGTGCCCCTTTGAAGTATAGAAGAGAAACTTGGTTTTTTGTCACTCCCTTCAATCTGCCCATCTTCCTCGACTGCTTCTGCATTATCCGCCGTTGCATCTTTTTTTCCATCCATTGTAATAAATAGACCACAAAATCAAAACGTTCCTTTATAAACTAAACACTACACATTTTTCAACAAAAATTTTCAACAGGAACATATTGCTCATAACCCGTATTATTAATTTTATAAGCACAACCTATCCAACCTACAACTGCTACGATAGTCGAAAAAAATCTTTCAAGCTAGTTGAAAAAAAAAAAAAGAGAATTGCGATCAAAATTAAATTTCAAATAACCATTAGACCGTTTGTTCTTAATGTAAGATTTCCAAAAAGACCTAAATTGGCTCAAAAGCTCAATAACAACAGCTAAACCTTAAACACCTTGCCAATATCCTACCAGACTAAAAATCTGATGAGGTAAAGGCCAACTCAACAAAAAAAACTTAAAATTAAGGAGAGAAATTACTTGCGTCTCTCCCCTTCACAAGCGCTTACCACTAATGACTCAACACTTCCAAAATACGGTATACAGATAAAATACAATATTGCCTTTGTGTCCAAAAACCAAATCGCACAAAAATTGGAAATGCCTCAATCAAACTGATCGAAATTATTTATACAGCCAATTCCCTCCACACTTCTTTCTCTCTGATCACCGAAACGTCTACATACTATCCTACCAACCTAAAATTACTTTTTCCTCTAATTAATAATTGTAGCTAATTCCTCTAATAATTGTAGCCACCGTCCAATTGTTTCTTCAAGCACAATTGCTCTCCTAAAATCTACAACTTTCATTTTCTACCGTTTTCAAAAAAAAAAAAAAAAAAAAA